TTGAAAACCTGGAGTAAAATGAAGGGAAGAGCAGAAAGAGGCAGCTACCTGGCAGCATCTACCCGTTGCCAACCCCTCCTCAGCAGAAGATGCCGATTTTATGCTGAAGCTCAGAGCTTCAGAAATATTCTCTAAATATTTAAGGAATGTCTGGGAGTTGTGGTAAACCAGACTGATACAGCACAGAAGGGAGGGCAGCAATAGTATTAGCAAAACAGGGCCAGAGAAAATAGTAAGCCACAGAGGAATACCTAGGACTTGATCAAGCATCTGCCCTGTAGTAGATTAAGGATATCTTGTTTTAGGAGATGTGTCCATGTCACACCACTGCCAGTAGCTATGGGTGGATTATGGGGTGCAGTTCAACCCCTCCTTCCCACAGTGCGGCACGTGCATAGTGAGTTCTCTAAACTCACCAGGTTCAGTGCAGCATCTGGCCAATGGTGCTACCTTGATAGCACCAGTGAGCTCCCCTGCCCAATCTGCCTGCCTACTGCATTTGGCTGCAGAGCAAAAAGGGGCAGGGAGGGGAACAGGACAGAGAAGCAGCAGCAGTAGCATTCACCTTCAGGTTCTGGAGCCACACTGACCAACCAGCAAGATCAGAGAGCTCCATGAACACATGTTCCACAGCCAAAGGGATGCATGTACCTGCACTGCCCTTCCCTCTCTCCCCCTTTCTAGATCTACCCATTTTAGTAACAAGAGGGTGATTTGCTGGATTATCAACTTTGAACAATATCGGATGAAAATTTTCTCTGAGAGCAGACCCATGGGGTCTGTCCTGGGTCCACTACTGTTCAACATCTTCACTAATGGATTTCAGTGATGGGATGGAGTGCACGTTTAGCAAATTTGCAGATTATACCAAATTGGGTGCAGTAGCAGACACTCTGGAAAGCAGAGGGAGGATCCAGAATGACTGAAAAAGCATTGTCCACAATCAAACAGATGAGATTCAACAAGAACAAGTGCTGGGACAGAATAACTGCATGCACAAATACAGGCTGAGGAATGACTATCTAGGCTGCAGTACTGCAGAGAAGGACTTGGGGGTTATAGAGGAAGACAAGCTTAATAAGCCAGTAGTGTGCTCTTGTTGCAAAAACAAAACAAAAAACCAACAGCATACTGTGCCGTATTAACAGAAGTCACTTGCAAATCAAGGAAAGTGATTTTTCTATTCTATTCAGCAATGGTGAGTCCTCACCTGGAGTACTGTATCCAGTTTTGTGCCCCACACTTCAAGAAGGATGAGGACAGATTGGAAAGAGTCCAGCACAAAGCAAGAGAAATTATTAGGGCCCTGGGAAGCAGGACTTATGAAGACAGGATTAAAGACCTAGGGCTATTTAGTCTAGGAAAGAAAAGACTGATGGGTGATTTGATAATAAGAACTGCATAGCTAAATGAATCTTCCACAAGGAAATCCAGACATGAAGTAGATGGTTACTAGTTTGCCTTGTGGACTGAGTAGTAATAAGTTTACTTGATACTATAAATATGTTGACAGTCCCTGCCTTGAAGAGCTCATCTGTGTCAGCATTCATCTGAAAGGCTGATCATAATTGAGGGGATATACAAATCTGTAGCAGTCAGTTAAATTTGGCAAGAGATAAGTGTCTTGAGGAGGATTTGATGGTCTTGTGATTAAGGAGGAACTAGACAGGGATTTGAAAGATTCAAGTTCTATTTCTGGATCTACATATCCCCTTTTGCAGATAAGGAGCTGGGGTCAACTGGTTTGGGATATACCACTACACTGCCTCAGGAATGCTGCGAATAAGTGCATGAAAAGGTTGTGATATAGTCAGCTACTAAGAAAACACAGCCCAGCAAATAAAGCTGTAGAAAAGGTTTTGGTGGTGACAGCACTGGAGTGGGACCTTACAAATCTAGGTTCAGTTCCTGGTTTTGCTGCTGACTCCTGGCCTTAAAATGAGAAAGAGTATAGGTCCAGATGTGAAAACTACTGAGGCAGAATTTAGGCACCCAAATACAAGAATACAAATCACAGCCTACCTCACCACATATCTGATCAGATTTGGGAGTCCACGCATGCTTATGTACTGCTATTCCCCCTGGCCAAAAACACTGCCCTCTTGGCATAGTGGGTACCAAGGCATTCATTTTCCCATTTGAGTAGTAACTAGCATCTGTGCACCTAAGTCTCCCAAACAATTTGAATCTCATAGGTGCATGCAAACCATGGGCCATTCAGCCAACAACAGCAAGTTGAGCAGAGACCACAGCAGACAGCCATTTTCATTTGTTATTTTTATACTACACTCATGAGAAGATCACTTGCCCAGGAAGGAGGGGACTAATTCTAGGTTTTGAACAACATTTCTCACTTCCCAGGAGAGTACCCCAAGCAAGAGGGAGCATAGCTCTGTAGCCCAATGAGGAGCACTGCACCTGGAGAGAAGAGTCCCAGGTTCTGGTTCCTGCTCCCAGAACTATTTAGGCATTTTGCATTGAACACTCTTTACATGAAACAGCCCTGGTTCTCAAAGTAAATCAGCCCAGGTGGACTGCTGCCCAGAATGTGGCTATAGTTCTTCTGGTACCTCAGCTAGTTCACAAAGCCATGTAAAACCTACCCCAAGCTACCCAAATCCTCACACTGGCTCTAATACTCTTATTCCACATGAAGGGGAGTATTTTCAAGGAAAAAGTGTCTAACACTGCCTCCTTAAGAGGCCCTTATAAGCCCTGGTATAGGAGATGTATGGGGGTGGAAATGCACCAAACTGCAAAGATTCAAGCAGCCCAGAAGCCTGCTTAACAGTCTAGGAAGACTGCCCCCACACTATTTATATATTATCCTGGGGACTCTTTCAGTTCCTGAAATGGTGAGGCAGAAGGGTGGAATAAAGCCAATATAGCTTATTCATCCCCAAACTGATGCCCCCTCTCCATGTTACAGGTATGTAATTAATTGGTTAATTGTACAATTACCTTGACCAGCCGCATGTGCAAAGTACTTATCACACAATAAAAAGCTCCAACCAGCTATAAAGTTACACCTAAAAAATGTGCTTGGACTTGATAGCCAATTGCCATCTGGCTGTAATTTGCATGTGTAGCAGGTTCCCCTTTGGCTGGGAGCCCCCTCAACTGTGAGCTTCCCAGCTGCACCTTGCCCAGCCAGGGCTGCAAGTCCCACAACTGCCATGAATGTGTGGCATGGCAGGAGGAATGACTGTGCAAATCACATTAGATCCCATCACACCTTTACCTTCACTTGTAGAGAGGGCCCTACATTAAGCATCTACCCTACACTGATTAGAAAAAAAGAAAAGATAATCTTCAATTTCACTAAATTAAGAGATCCATTGTATGTGTTATATTTCAACAAATAAATCAAACCTTTTCCATTTAACAGAGCTATTAAATAGCTGGGCAACCACTGTCAGTCACAGTCTGTAGCAGAGGGCTTTCCACCCAAACCTGTTTCTCACCCACCCCCTTCTCTATGACCAATTACCAGCATTAACACTGGTGTTAGACTCTCCGGGTATCAAGTTTTCTTTTTTTGGTCAAAATCTTCAGGCAGAGCATAGAACCAAGTGAAGGAATCTATTTAAAAAGCATGATAAGACTCTCTCATCAGAAGTACTACCATCCCTCTAGCAACAGGATGGCATAATGCATTTATTTCCTTTTTTAGTAACTTGGGACATCATTTTGTTGGACCCTTGCAGACTAGAGTTTGCCTGATGTCCCCCCAGGCTTATGTTTTAAAAGCATCTGTCTGCTTATTGACTTTGTCTAGCTTTGGGAAACAAAAACAACTAACAGTTTTCTGAAAATACTTCCTAAACCTTTGAAAAGAAAACAGTGCTTAAATTAATCTGTCCCATAAAAGTAAAACCATTCTAAAGGAGACTTTTAAGCAATAGGCTTTATTCAGTTGGTTAATGAAGCTGAATAAAGGTCCTACTTTAAGACTCTATTCAGGATGCAAAAAATATTGGGCATTCAGAGATCACCTCCTTTTATCTCTCTTGAAGATATCAATTAGTGAAGATATTTCATTGCCTAAGATTCCTAAACACAGAGAAATGGCAATACATAATATAGAGAAGGAGGAACTAGCTATACTACTGATCCATCTTAATAGCTTTAAATGTATATGCCACAGAAACATTTTTGCTGTAGTCAGAACTTTAAAAAAAACAAAAACAAAACCTCATTACCTCATCTCTTACATTGCCATTCCCATTGATTTCAGTGACAGTGGTTACTTAGCAATCTGAAATCCAGACCTTGTAAGCTGTTTATTATAGGCAGTCAATGTTAGAAAATAATGTCACCTGAGATTTGGGTCCACCTTTGCTCATACAGCACCATCTATCCATATATTACTAGATAAAATGGAAGCACATCTTGGATATAAAGCAGTCCAAAATGGTTGCAAATTTTATACAATACTCCAAAACATACATAGAATTTCCATACATGGACCTTGTGCATCTAAAATAAGTTTGCCCAGGGCTCAAAAAAAAAGTTACTGAGACTGTTCCTTATTTTTAAATAATGAAAAAGCTTGGAGCCATCTGCATTCACTGTTTTTACCCCCTTTTGCTGAGGGTCAGCATCGAGTCATCAGGTCACTTACCCTTTCTTAGACACTATTTGAAGGGGTATGTAGCAGAGCTTTTTAAAAATTGCTGAGAGATTTTGATTGAAAGTGCGTTTCCTACAAAAACAGAAGTTCCCTCAGGAAAATCCACTGGAAGTAATCTGAACAAAATATTTTTATATTCAGATAAGTTAAAATCCATCAGTTTTTGTTTAACAATAAGTTAAAATATTTCATTAGGGTTTAACATCAGCTACCTTGCATTAATTCTCAGGTGCCACAGTGCTTCTTGCGAACTGTATTATTTATAGCATGTGCCCCCAATTCTCCTCAATAGGATAGATACATCCCACATCTCTCATGACCCCCTTTACAGTAAAAGTTAGTCACAGAAAACCCATAATCAGGTTACCATGAGAGATGGAATCAAGAGGAGTGGAGCCAGTAAAGAATGGAGGGGTATCGAGTGTCTCAGCAGTAACTTCCATAAAATGCCACGGGTTGTTCTTTCAGTTCTTGTCCCTCTCCCCACACAACCATGATATGCAGTTGATATAAAGGTGACAGTTATAAACAGTATAAGAGTTGCGTCCTCTCCAGTCAATAGAACTATACTTGTTTTGTGTCCAATGTAATCCATTTACTAGTTCTCCGGTTCTTGGTCAAGTCAGGGAACAGAGGCTAGGTAAGACATGAAATGTTCTTGGTCAAGTCAGGGAACAGAGGCTAGGGAAGACATTAAAAATTAATTCTTTGTAGTATAACACTTAGCAGAACTTCCCATCCTACTTTATATTTTTCAACCCATCATGAGATCTACACCTAGGGAACAAACAACTCCTTACCATTTTCCTCCCATGCATTGTCACTTTTGGATAAGATACAGGCAAATCTCCAATCTGTGTATAGTTGAGGTAGTGGACTTCATGCATTTAGACTCCACAAATGACCTGTGTGGAGATGAACAACGATATTATCAGTCCCAGCTTTGATCCTCCCCTTAAAAGGTCTCAGTTACCCTTATATGTAGATATTCAAAGGGCCCCCAAAGAGCCATGAGCCATATGATATAGTCAGCAGCTACCTTCGGACACCCTAAAAGTCTTACTAGTGCTATTTTTTACACTTCAAAAAGAGATGAGATTTGCTCCAAAAGGCCTTAATGGTTCTTTGGGTATGGTATAGACTAGGGCTATGCAAAGCTTCAGTATTGGATTTGATTTGAAGGAGATTCGGCCTGATTCAGGGACCGAATCCAAATCGAATTGGGAGACCAATTAAAAGCTCTGAATCAATTCAAAGCATCTGAATCGATTTGGAAAAGCTTCAGAAAAGATTCGGCCTCTTTGGAGATTCGGCCATAGACTAAACAGGCAGCTGACACAGCTGCCTCCTGCTGGTAAGTCTGTTGGGGTTGTGGGAGAGATTGGGGCTGGGGCTGGGGCTGGAGCTGGGACAAGCTGCCCAACTGGGGCAGGAGTGCGCATTACTCCGGGGGGTGGGGGGTTGCAGGATGAAGTGTGGCCATGCTGGAAGGGGGGCTCTGTCCTCCAGCCACTTGCCCAGCCAGGGCGGGGGGGTGCAGATGTGGGCATGGCTCACTCCATACTATACTGGAGAACAGTGGGAGAGGTAGGAGAAAGAGTCCAAGACATTAACATAACACAAATCCCTCTATATCCAAGAGTGTGTTTTGCACTGACGCTGTCAACCTTATCCTTAAGGACCTAACTAAATCATGGACTCTGCCTCCATTTTTCACAGTCCCACTGTGTCACAACCCAAAGTTGTGGGTTTTTTTGTTTGTGTGTGCTTCGGCACCGCTAAATTATGTTCCCGCTAAATTGCAGCTTCTTTGCACAGTAGAGTTTTCTGCTGCAGAAGAGAACCCCAGTGCAAAAGAGTATTCCCGCCAATTTGAAGCTTTCTTTGCATGGTGCATTTCTTTTTGCATCCAAGAAATGCACGGTGCAAGGAGTTCCCGCCATTTGTATGAAGATTCGTGCCACATTATTGGCCGATTCTAATACATGCACACGTGGCGGCTAGTGATTGGCTTGTTAGCCGTATAAAGAGCTTGGGTGGTTTCCACCCAAGCTGGAGAGAAAGCAATTGGAGTTCGAGAGAAAGAGCGTGAAGATCTCTAAGCGCTGCGGATCCTTACGGACCCAACGCTGTTCTTAAAAGGCAATAGAGGCCTGATAACCGAACCTGCGGAGCTTTAACAACTCCGGGGAAAAGAATGAACAGCCTCTAGCCTCTCCCCATCACCGATAAATTCCTAGACGTATCCCTTCCTATACAAGAAACTACTGAACCCGCGGAGCTTCAATAACTCTGGGGCCAAGAACCGAACCCGCGGAGCTTCAATAACTCCGGGGCTGAGAACGAATTGTCGTAGTCCTCTAACGAGGATTTAAGCGGAGCTGAACCTGGAAACTGTCCAGCCTACACCACAACCATCTTTGGTGTAAGTAAATAATCTTTAAATCAACCATTACGCGTCCGTAACTAATTCTAGCTCGCCACCGGTTCTCTCCGACCCCGCGTGCCCGGGCTGCTGGCCACAGCCCGCGTGCGCAAAGACGGGTCCGCATATCGCTCCCGGCCCGCTCATGGCGACATGGATGGGATCGGGAGGTGGCCCGCACACACTGTACCATCCAGTGCCATTTTCACAGCACAGTGCAGTGCCCCCCCCCCCATGCCTGATTGGCTGAGGGGTCCTTGGAGTCCTGCCCCTCCCCAGAGATTGACAGCCATCTGTCAATCTCCAGGAAGGGACAGGAGGGCCCTCTGCCATGTCTCTCATGGGCCGAGAGGTCCTGGAAGTCCTGCCCCTCCCCAGAGTTTCCATGCTTTTCTGTTTGCAGAAGCTTCATGTCCCCCTTCTCCCCCAGCTTGCTATTGATTTTGTGCTTTTTCACAGTCCCCACCACTTTTTCATTGGGACCAGGATTTTTTGTCGGGGACCATCAAATTGGCAAAAATCACGTAATCATGAATTTGGTAGGTCCTTACATATTTTTGATGGCCTTACTGAGACTTGAAGCACTCTAAAATGGGGTTTAGAGTACAGGTTTCCTCTTAAACTTACTGAACCAAACTCATTCTGAGACCTAAAATGGCAATGAATTTTTACCTGGAACAAGTATCAAATGATCATTTTAAATTAGTGCTTCCAATTAAGAAAGCCACATATTCTGGTATTGAGAGGAGTTCTGTAAAGACACCAAAGTGCACGTGAAATTCCTAAAGGCTAAATCTTCTTTATGAAATCCCATCTGTAGAAATGCATTTAAAAATTATCATCCTACTCCAGAAATGTTGCCTCAAAGTAGAGTGAAAAAGAATCCACTTATAAGGAAGCACTCTATACCAAGCAACACAACTGTTCATAGGTTTGTAGATTTCTGGATACATGCGAGTTTTGAGGACAGAAGCGACTCCCATTGGCCAGATGTTCCATCTGAAGGGTGAACAAAATAAGAATAGTCATTATCACTCCGCATAGTGGCTGGGGGTCCTCAGGGATTCTACTACTGTTCTGCGGTCTCTTGGCTCTTCCAGATTGCTCAAGATATAGAATGGGACTAGTATTTGGCCTGGACCAAAGAAAACTATGTTACAGCAGTTCAGTGTTTGTGTAATGGTGTGTGACAATGTTCTGATACCCCATTAAAAAATAAAGCAAGTAAGCATTAAGCTATGCTGGTTTTTTCTGACTGGGTCCCATTTGCAACATTAACTTCGAGTACTTTATAAGTTCACTATACTGTAATTTGTATTTAGCTGGTTTAGAAAATAAACAACTGCCTCAGGTTAAAACAGCAAATTCTATTTAACTGTCTAAGATAGGAAATGGACACTGAATCCTATTTAGTTCTAACCACATGGGAATTACGTGCTGCCCACAATGGAATCCTGCCAAGAGACCAAGATAACTCTTAAGAGTGCTGCATTATTTTAAATGACTGCAAGTGATTTCTATTTCACATCCGATCTAGCTCAACACGTTCTGAGGACTTTCCTTCTGAAGTGCCTTCTGTTGGTTCTAAAAACCATTTCCTGTGCCACCTGATTTTTTTGGGAGCTCTCCCATGTAAGTATAACCAGGCCCATCCCTATGTAGTTCATGGGCTGTGATGTGATCACAGCCCTTTGAGCTATAGCTTCATGAATGGAGTCCTTCAAAAGTAAAGCCACATTAAATTTAGCATATTACAAGTATAAGACTAATTGTTGCTGTTACTTCCAGGTTCAGAAGACTGATATAGTTGCATCAATTTTAAATGCAGTTACTCTAGCATTTAACCAAAAGCAAAAAATGCCTAAGTAATTCAACTTGTTTGCTTGAATTTGGTGTCTTATTTGTAGAGTTTTATTTTTCTATAGAAGATGAGACTAGAGGAGTGAGGTAAGGGAGGTAAAGATCCTAGCTGTACACCAAGTCGTAGCAGGGCAGGTTCATGCCCAGGGCAGCTAGGATGCACAGGCCAGTGCCAGCTGCCACAATACCAATTGGGGCAAGACATTCAGCCACCACTGTGCGGGGGGGAAATCACAGCTATTTTTGCACCGCATCCCCTCAAGGCAGCCTTTGGGGTTACTACCCCAATCACTCCCACTCAGTTATACTAATAGTTGTTCAGTTATTTTTTAAATTCTCTTCATTTGGGAATTGTGAATGTGGTGGATCTTCAACACTAGTTTTCTAGTAAGCATAGCTCCTTTGGCTCACTACACATCTGATTTACACCACTGGGTGAGAGATCCACACTATTTTTATGCTCCTTCTGAGATCCTGTTAAAACAAAGACATTTGCATCAGTGCTACAGGGCTGTAACATTATCAAATCAGCCTGCTGGTTACATCATTGCTAAAAATGGCCCACAGAATGAAGGATTTAGATGGCATGGCTGTATAACTATGAGTGTTGTAGGCACTGTACATTTATATTTTTAAGGATTACGTGGTTTGCAGAGTCCAGCAACTACTTGGTATTCAATTCTATGCAGGATACTACAGTAGAGACATGCTCAAAGAACTGTTGGTTTACATTATGCAAACAAAACATGAAAAGCCATTCGGGCTGATCGTCTCTTTTTCATATATAAAAACTAGGCCTCTCACTGCCAGCTATGATGGGGTTGCATGTTGTCAATATCTATCCACAATGAACTGATCCCAAACTAGTAACTCATTCTACGAAAGGCTACAAGTCAACTGCCATAGGGTGAGATTTCAATTTATAACTCGCAAGTTAAATTTGAACCAGCAACCTGGCAGCAAAAAGCCTAACCCATTATCAATCTTGAACCACCCAGATTTTAAATAAATGTATGTTAACTGTGTTTTGCATGGACAGATTAATGTCCTTTTCAAACTGTTCGTGCATGTGTTTAATCATTAAGTGTTGTATACTTAAGCTTTAAGCAAAGCCAGCTATATTTCGTTTGCACCACAGTACATCATATGTTTGAGCATATGACTAAATTCACTATTAGGATTCAAGTTTAGTCCCATACTTTTTCCTTATGCAGCATAATGGTATTTTCCATATGAAAGCCAAAAATCTGGAACAATACATAGTTAACATCTACCAAGACCTGTATTTCAGAACATTTCAACCAAGTGGTGTTGGATTACTACTTCTTATTGGCATCTTGTTATCACCAAGAGAAGAGTTAAAGAAACTAGGTAGGGTAAAAAAGAAAAAGAGGCTGCAGAGTGCAATGCTGCCATCTACTGGAGTTTTGCTGTTTGCCAGCTTGCCTGTTTAAAGATGAAGTTACTGGCTTGTCAAACTTATTTCATTGTTCAAAGGCTACTTTTATTGGTTTTAAACCATTCAGTTTGTGACAAGTTTATTCCAAAATATTTTTGAAATTGCATGTGTATGCTGGTACAGGACCAACTTCAATTCTGTACAGTACAGTAGTTCTGATA